AGTCTGCCTTATCGCGGTTTCTAAGCTTTCCTGTTTTTCACAGTTTGTCCTACTGTGATTTCCAGACTTCCCCCCCAAACCGTTAATTCAGCACTATGAATCATAAGCCTTATAATTATAGATAGTTCTGCTTTTATATTTTTCCTCTATTCTGCCTCTAAAAACCTTTCACCTACAATAGACTTAACTAATGTTCAGGTCTGAACCAAAGTTCAGGCCCGAGCCAACTAAAGTTTAGGCCCTAGCAAACTTTTTCCTCCACAATATCAATATCCTCCTTTTATAGCATCATAGAATATCAGGGTTGGAAGGGGCCTCAGGAGGTCATTTAGTCCAACCCCCTGCTCAAAGCAGAACCAATCCCTAACTAAATCCCCAAATCCCTAAATGGCCCCCTCAAGGATTGAACTCACAGCGCTGGGTTTAGCAGGCCAATGCTCAAACCAGTGAGCTATCCCTCCCCCCTTTAACATGAGGCATTCTAGTTCACCCATCTTATTATTTAGACTTCTAGCATTTATGTACAAGCACTTTAAAAACTTGTCACTGTTTATTTGTCTGCCCTTTTCTGATGTGTCAGATTCTTTTATGTGAATGTTTCTTGACTGGTCTCACCCATACTTTATCCTCTTCCATCCTCTCCTCCTGACTAGAACCTAGAGAATCTCTATCAATAGACTCTCCTCTAAGAGAAGGCTCTGTCCGAGCCACGTGATCCGCTGCAGCAATCGGCTTTCCCCCTATATCTTAGGGCAATGTATCCTGGAAAGAAATGACTCTGAGAAGGATTGGCTGGGCAGAGTGGACAAGCAACTTGACATAAACTCCCAGTATTATGCTATCGCAAAAACGACTGATGTGATCATACAAACAGCTGGCTCCCAGTCTCCAGCTGCAGCCTGACCTTCACCCCTCCATTGTGCAGATGTACACAGAAATCCTTGCTTCTGTTTTCTCTGCCAGCACCGTCTTGGCTATTTGCTTCTGCCCTGCTAAAACACACACAAGCATTTCATCCCCAACGCTACTCAGTGGGATTTGGGACACAGCTGGGACATCACCAAGAGGGACGCTCAGCTCAGAGGAGGTGAGTAAGCAGCTGGGATACAATTCGTAGAGGGACGTGAGATTAAAACTTGGTCATGCGTCCCACGACACTGAACTGTCCTACACTGACTATCTACTCCTAGAGTGCATTACTGCTCTGGCAATTGGCATAAACAGTGTACAGAGGTTTTGTACAGGCTGATTGTAACTACTTTTCCATTTAAGGTTCAGTGAGGCACAGGATCAAGTACTTAATTGAAATTCAAATGTAACATCAATTTGGTTCCCCACATTTGTTAAATTTGTGATAATATATATAGATGTATAAAAATCACATTTATGTAGAAATTGCTAAAATATAATCCTCCCCTCCCCCCCAGATGGTATTCATCCCCCAAGGCGTCATTGCTGTCTAGAGAGTTATAATTTTTGCATAATATAAATTACATATTTTTACTGGCCATGGAAGTCAGTATCTGGGGAAGAGAATTGCCATCATCACTTTTTTTAACCTTGGTTACTACATTTTCTTTCCTTATGTCTCAGGTACCGCTCCAAGTTTTTAAAACTTAATTATCATTGGTTCCACAATTGTGTTAGGAAAATTTACCCTTAATACCCTAGGAACTAGTCATCTGGGTCATCTGACTGAGATATGGTCATGTTTTCCAAATATTCCCTTGCCAGATCTGTCTAATTGCCTTTATTATTTGCATTATGGTAGCAGTGTTCAAACAACACAGTGGAGGAAACAGTCCTTCCCCACAGAGCATATATTTAAAAAAGTCCTGTCCAAATAATTGTTCAATCTGTTTTTCTATATTTTCTTGTAGTAGAGAAATTCAAAAAGGACTTCAGTATCTCACCCACTCTGGAGTCATCAATAATTTTATCCCCCTCCTGTGGTAACAGCCCAGATTTTCCCCTGAGACTTCCTTTTCCCATGATGTAGTTATAAAAGCCCTAATTTCCCTTACCCCCTTTGGCAGTGTTAACTCATTCTGCCTTCTAGCTGGCCTTATCTTCCCCTAGAGCCATAGCTGAATCTGATTATTTTGATTTGGTTGCCTCCTACTTCATTTCCAGTGCAGCTTTTTCTGATACTTACAGTCTTTTAGCAGGTCTCCATGAAATCCCATTGTCTGCTTCTTGTTCCTTGCATTCCTCCTTTTCCAAGGAGTTGGCATATCTTGTACCATACAGAGTCTTTGGATTGTCCCAGTTTCCTTTGTTATGGTGGATTCTTCCTCCCACTGTTCCTTAATCATTCCCAAACTTTGCTTTCATGAAATCAGATACCCTTGTAATGCTGCATCAGCCAGCTTTCTACTTGCCTTTCTTGTCTGTCGGAAATACCCTGTCGCTCCTTTGACAGAAAGCTCCTGTTTCCCCTCATCTCTACCTAGTTTAAAGTCACCAGGCAAGTCCAGTTAACTGTGAAGCCTGGAAGCTGATCTACCTTCTAACTGAGCCCCCACAATACTTAAAGGTTTAAATATTGTTGTTTTTTAAAAAAGGTTGTTAAGTCAGCTGCTTGGGTGATACAAATCAGCATAGATTCATGGATGACAGGCTGAGGATCTGGCCCACAGGATGGATGTAAACCATATTGTACAGCTTCGGCAACAGAGGAGGTGTCATACTGAAAGCAGGATACTGGGAGTCAGGACTCCTGGATTCTAGCCCTAATAACTGTAAAGCCTTTTTAGAGCCTTGACAAGTAACACCCACAGGGATAAAAAAACAGCAAGAGGTAATAAAATGCAAATTGTGAGCGCTGTGGGAACCATACAATTGTATTTCATGATGTGTGGCCCTGTAATAGCTACCAGATCATTATGGTATTTTTGCATTCTATCTTTCCACAAGGTCTCAGGAAGATGCCAGAGATGCTGCCCCATAGAAGTGCCCTTCTGGCTCTGCTCTTGATCGCTGCCATTCTGCCACTTACATGCTCCTATGTTCTTATTCATCACACTAGCTCAGGAGGGCAATGCCAAGAGTCTTGTGAGTATCGTGGTTACAGTTACACCTGGTGCAAGCAGCTAGGAGGCAAGAAGGCGGCCTGGGATTACTGCTCCTCAGAACCAGGTTTGGAGGCCTCTGGAAAACGTTGTGCAACTCCCTGCACGCTCTGGGGTGCTTCTTACCATAGCTGCTATTTGCAGGATGGTAAATGGGGCTACTGTGGACTAATTACCAGATGGGATCACGCCAAATATTCTCAAGAGAACAAGCTGTGTATCAGCCAGTGCCGAGCAACCCGGGGAACTTTCCAGTGCAATACACTTGACGGCATTGAACCCTGCGCCCCCTTCCCTGATGTGACCACAAGAGGCCTTCCCTGCCACAACAACTACCGATGTGCCCGTTATGGGCACAGTGAATACCGGTGCCACACTGACAAAGAAGAAGACAGCTGGGCATACTGTGGGAGAAGGAGCCTGGATGAATGTGTGTGGATTGCCCACCAGACCAATGCTACCCAGGCAGAGTTCTGCATCCTTAGCTATGCCCAAGGAGGAGGAGACAATATCACTTTCCGCCGAGAGAGGCAAGACAACTTGATCCATCCTGCCAAAGAGCAGTTCCAAAATGCTACCTACCTTATTGATAGCATTACCTCCAGCATCAGCATCCCTGACTCTTGGGCCCTGGGCTCAGTGCGTCTACACAAGCAGGAAGAAATCTTCTGTAAGGGCATCAACTATACCAACCTGGTGCTGCAAATAAGCAAATCCACCGACTCTTATTTGCCCATCGCTCGGGTCCTCTTCCCAAAGACCCTGGATGCTGATGAGTTCCTGCGCTTAGCACTGTACACTAGTCTCCACAGTGCCTTTTACCCACCTGCTTACGCCATTGTTGTATCTCTTAGTGAACCAATGTGAACATTGTGGGGGGGAAGGGAGGAGAATGGGGCAGTGGGGGGTAGAATGAGGGAAAGGGGGTTGGGGGAAGAAGCAGTGGGGAAGGGAGGTGAGACGGGGGGGGGGGAGAGGCAGTGGGGAAGGGAGGTGGAGTTGGTGGGAGATAAGAATCATAGAATATCAGGGTTGGAAGGGACCTCAGGAGGTCATCAAGTCCAACCCCCTGCTCAAAGCAGGACAAATTCCAAACTAAATCATCCCAACCAGGGCTTTGTCAAGCCTGACCTTAAAAATCTCTAAGGAAGGAGATTCCACCACTTCCCTAGGTAACCCATTCCAGTGCTTCACCACCCTCCTAGTTTTTGGTTTTTCCTAATATCCGACCTAAACCTCACCCACTGCAACTTGAGACCATTACTCCTTGTTCTGTCATCAGGTACCACTGAGAACAGCCTAGCTCCATCCTCTTTGGAACTCCCTTTCAGGTAGTTGAAAGCAGCTATCAAATCCCCCCTCATTCTTCTCTTCTGCAGACTAAACAATCCCAGTTCCCTTAATCATCTCCTCATAAGTCATGTGCTCCAGCCCCCTAATCATTTTTGTTGCCCTCTGCTGGACTCTCTCCAATTTGTCCATATCCCTTCTGTAGTGGGGGGGACCAAAACTGGACACAATACTCCAGATGAGGCCTCACCAATGTCGAAAAAAGGGAATGATCACATCCCTCGATCTGCTAGCAATTCCCCTACTTATACAGCCCAAAATGCCGTTAGCCTTCTTGGCAACAAGGGCACACTGTTGACTCATATCCAGCTTCTCATCCACTGTAACCCCTAGGTCCTTTTCTGCAGAACTGCTTCCTAGCCATTTGGTCCCTAGCCTGTAACAGTGAATGGGATTCTTCCATCCTAAGTGCAAACTTGCTGAGAGTGCAGTCCATGCCATCCTCCAGATCATTAATGAAGATATTGAACAAAACCGGCCCCAGGACCGACCCTTGGGGCACTCCGCTTGAAACCGGCTGCCAACTAGACATGGAGCCATTGATCACTACCCGTTGAGCCCGACGATCTAGCCAGCTTTCTATCCACCTTATAGTCCATTCATCCAACCCATACTTCTTTAACTTGGTGGCAAGAATACTGTGGGAGACCATATCAAAAGCTTTGCTAAAGTGAAGGAATAACACATCCACTGCTTTCCCCTCGTCCACAGACCCAGTTATCTCCTCATAGAAGGCAATTAGGTTAGTCAGGCATTACTTGCCCTTGGTGAATCCATGCTGACTGTTCCTGATCACTTTCCTCTCCTCTAAGTGCTTCAGAATTGATTCCTTGAGGATCTGCTCCATGATTTTTCCAGGGACTGAGGTGAGGCTGACTGGCCTGTAGTTCCCCGGATCCTCCTCCTTCCCTTTTTTAAAGATGGGCACTACGTTAGCCTTTTTCCAGTCATCCGGGACCTCCCCCGATCGCCATGAATTTTCAAAGATAGTGGCCAATGGCTCTGCAATCACGTCCACCAACTCCTTTAGTACCCTCGGATGCAGCACATCCGGCCCCATGGACTTGTGCTCGTCCAGTTTTTCTAAATAGTCCTGAACCACTTCTTTCTCCACAGAGGGCTGGTCATCTTCTCCCCTTTCTCCCCTGTGCTGCCCAGTGCAGCAGTCTGGGAGCTGACCTTTTTTGTGAAGACAGAGGCAAAAAAAGCATTGAGTACATTAGCTTTTTCCACATCCTCTGTCACTAGGTTGCCTCCCTCATTCAGTAAGAGGCCCACTCTTTCCTTGACTTTCTTCTTTTTGCTAACATACCTGAAGAAACCCTTCTTGTTAACCTTAACGTCTCTTGCTAGCTGCAACTCCAAGTGTGATTTGGCCTTCCTGATTTTACTCCTGCATGCCTGAGAAATATTTTTATACTCCTCCCTGGTCATATGTCCAATCTTCCACTTATAAGCTTCTTTTTTGTGTTTAAGATCAGCAAGGATTTCACTGTTAAGCCAAGCTGGTCACCTGCCATATTTACTATTCTTTCTACACATCGGGATGGCTTGTCCCTGCAGCCTCAATAAGGATTCTTTAAAATACAGCCAGCTCTCTTGGACTCCTTTCCCCCTCATGTTGTTCTCCCAGGGGATCCTGCCCATCAGTTCCCTGAGGGAGTCAAAGTCTGCTTTTCTGAAGTCCAGGGTCCGTATTCTGCTGCTCTCCTTTCTTCCTTGTGTCAGGATCCTGAACTAGACCATCTCATGGTCACTGCCTCCCAGGTTCCCATCCACTTTTGCTTCCCCTACTAATTCTTCCCTGTTTGTGAGCAGCAGTCAAGAACAGCTCTGCCCCTAGTTGGTTCCTCCAGCACTTGCACCAGGAAATTGTCTCCTACACTTTCCAAAAACTTCCTGGATTGTCTGTGCACCGCTGTATTGCTCTCCCAGCAGATATCAGAGTGATTGACATCGCCCATGAGAACCAGGGCCTGTGATCTAGTAACTTCCATTAGTTGCCAGAAGAAAGCCTAGTTCACCTCATCCTCCTCGTCTGGTGGTCTACAGCAGACTCCCACCATGACATCACCCTTGTTGCTCACACATCTAAACTTAATCCAGAGACTCTCAGGTTTTTCTGCAGTGTCATACCGGAGCTCTGAGCAGTCATACTGCTTTCTTACATACAGTGCAACTCCCCTACATTTTCTGTCCTGTCTGTCCTTCCTGAACAGTTTATATCCATCCATGACAGTACTCCAGTGATGTGAGTTATCCCACCAAGTCTCTGTTATTCCAATCACATCATCCTTCACCGAGGAGACAAGCTGACTGCATGGCTTGTCTCATGAAAAAGGGACTCAGCCCAATGCACAGTCAACCTGTGGAACTCTTTGCCAGAGGATGTTGTGAAGGCCAAGACTATAACAGGGTTCAAAAAAGAACTAGATAAGCTCATGGAGAATAGGTCCATCAATGGCCATTAGCCAGGATGGGCAGGGATGGTGGCCCTAGCCTCTGTTTGCCAGAAGCTAAGAGTGGATGACAGGGGATGGATCACTTGATGATTACCTGTTCTGTTCATTCCCTCTGAAGCACCTGGCATTAGCCACTGTTGGAAGATGGGGCACTGGGCTAGACTTTGGTCTGACCCCGTATGGCCATTCTTATGTTGTTAAAATGCTGGTGAATAATACTTTATTAGACATGAGATATGTGTGAATTAAGTCTAGGTGTGTGTTATGATTTTATTTTACACGTGATCATTTGTTTACAGTAATTCTACTCAGCTCTCTCTACTTTGTTAAATAAACTTTTACATCTTCGAAGTGGGATGTGCTAAACAAAGTGGTGATCTAAGATGTAAGTGATAAGCTGGGGTGTACTGCTTCTTAGGGAGCAGCGAATCTATGACTAGTGCATGTGTCTAGTGGAACACATGCTGGGCACTCCAGGGAGACAGTTGGAGGGCCGTGGGGTTGAAGTGTGCCTATCTCTAACCTGGAGAGAGAGCAGGGCCTGTATAGGCCGGGGGCGGGGGGGGGGGAAGGTGCTTCTGTTGCCAGTAGAGTTGGGGTGCTAACCCCTTGCAGCCACAGCCAAGCCTTACTTGTGCTATGGGCAGGTGGTAGAGAGGTGCCTCTCTGCCCTGAGTACCCCCAGGAAGCTTCACACCATCCCCTCAATGCAAACTTAATTCTGCCTCCCAGACCTGACATTAAGAGGTTGGCGAATGTGCCATTGTTTGTGTTCTCATCTGAATTGCAGCAGATAGCTGCAGCACTCTCACTGTGTTCACTGTACCTGTACGGAACAGGAAGGCAGCTTGGGTGCATGGTGGGAACGATAAGCCTGGAGCTCCTTTCCCACTGCTGGAGGCAGCCTAAGCAAGATGGGGGCTCTGCCTGCCCCCAGATTGTGGCTCACATGGGGGGGGGGGGGTGTTGGCAGAGGCGCTCAGACCCGACAGAGCGGCAGGCACCCCGATCCTGGCTCATACCTGGAGGGGCCAGAGAGAGGGGCTCAGCCCTCCTGCCCTTTTGTGAGGCACACCCCCTCCAGCCCCAGCCATTGCCCTGAGAGATGGGACTGTAAATGGGAGTTATCTTCACCTACCCCTTTTGACAGTGCTGCCCATGGGAGCCAGCTGAGGTCACTCAATTAGGGTGAACTGCAAACAAAACGGGGCAGACAAACCCCAAACGCTGGTGGATATTCCAATACTTAGATTTACCAAGCCAGCACAAAACAGCTTCTATAGTAACTCACTGGTTACTCAGAAGTCCAAACAACGCAGTTCCCTTAAAGTACCCAGCCTCAGGCCTCCATCCAGACACACCTGTCAAACATATGATGAGGATTACTGAAAATTACCGATGAGGGAAGTCGTGCCTGACTAACCTAATTGCCTTCTATGATGAGATAACTGGGTCTGTGGATGAGGGGAAAGCAGTGGATGTGTTATTCCTTGACTTTAGCAAAGCTTTTAATACGGTCTCCCACAGTATTCTTGCCGCCAAGTTAAAGAAGTATGGGCTGGATGAGTGGACTGTAAAGTGGATAGAAAGCTGGCTAGATCGTCGGGCTCAACAGGTAGTGATCAATGGCTCCATGTCTAGTTGGCAGCCGGTTTCAAGCGGAGTGCCCCAAGGGTCGGTCCTGGGGCCGGTTTTGTTTAATATCTTTATTAAGGATCTGGAGGATGGTGTGGACTGCACTCTCAGCAAGTTTGCAGATGACACTAAACTATGAGGCGTGGTAGATACACTAGAGGATAGGGATCGGATACAGAGGGACCTAGACAAATTAGAGGGTTGGGCCAAAAAAACCTGATGAGGTTCAACAAGGACAAGTGCAGAGTCCTGCACTTAGGACGGAAGAATCCCATGCACTGCT